ATCGAGATTAAACTTAGAAACACTATTAAAACATCACAGGTTCACATTATGGTTGCAAAAACAACAGAATCACAAAGAAACGCACATAAATAAAGACCACGTATTTAGAATCCACTAATAAAACGTCATAATATCCCATTATGGCTCACAAACATAACAAAAGCCTAAAAAATATGAAAGAAGAAAGAGAGAAAATTTCTACTCTTATTCTAAAATAATTCACAGAAAGGTATTCTCCCTTATTTGAATTATGTTACCTTCCCTTTCTCATTAATGTTTTATCTAAACTATGACGTGATGCGATCGCCTTGATGATGGAGACAGTAAGGACCTCTGAAACGTCGGTAATTTTCTACCGACTACACGGCGCAACAACCCAGAAGACAGAAATCTTCATACTCACCGCCGTGAAAACCTCAAATCATACGCAGTAACATCTTACATCGTATTCGGAATGTCGCGGGTTTAAACACCAGTCCTGAGACGGGTACTCCTGAGGTTTTTCGGTTTTTTTTAAATCATTTCATGGGACAGCAGGTCTTTACTAAAACAGACGATGACCGCTTCCTTCCACACCCCGTCCAGTCCTCTCACAAGCATCATATCAATTGACGATACGCCTATATGACATATCCAGTTACACAAACGTCGTTAAATAACCTACGACGACGACTCCTACATGGAGCCTGTGCTGCCAAGGTGTAGACGGGTCACCGTGTACTCCAATTCTAGTTTGATTAGCGTGTAATTGACAACGAGAGCGTGTGCCAGTCACATGTCATGCATGGGCTTCCCCTACCCAACCAAGCCTTAGGCAACCCATTGTTACTCGCCGATCCACTGGAAGACAGAAGAGCAGCAGCCAGCAACTGCTGCAGTCACATCGGTTGCAGTAACGAGCGAGAGGGCGGAAACCAATCCCACCCCACGCCTACTCCCAAACGTTCTCTTCGGTCAAAAGCAACAGCTGAAACGGCACCTCGACACAGGTTATGGCAACTCGCTCCCGATTTCAATTGGCAGACTGAATGATTAACAACGTATCATGCGGAAATCCGGACTGAGATTCAAACCGTGTACCTCACGAATGCAAATGTAGCCGCGTTACCACTGCTCAGCAGTTCTCTCAAATAGGCCTACACATTTCTTGTCAATGACCTGTTAAGTTCGTCCGTCCTCATTTGTAATACATGCATTCTGATGTTATTAAATACCGTCTATAACCTAGCAAATATAGTTTTGAATCATAAAAAATCACCGTCAACTCACCCTTATTTTTATTAAAACGTTAATCACTGCACTACATGTTCAGACCTATGTTATCATCTTCAGATGATTTTCTTAGTTTCAAGGATGCTCAACGAAACATACTCGTATGCTGGTTTTAGCTTCACCGAGAATCCAAAACGTCAGCTTTACACAGAAAAAAATTATGGGCTTCCTATTGGTATGTGGGTGTAGTTAAGAGTTCTCTTCAAAAGTTAACATAAAAGAAGATAAAAAAACTAAACTTAAATCATCTTAAAACTGGTATTATTTGTTGGAACAAGTTGGAGACTTATGTCGCAGTGCCGTGTAAGGTCACGGGTTTCACCGGTACAATTTTACGTGGACAGCTTCAATATTGTTCTCGAGAAACATAAGGAAGGATTAATTGTATAAGATTGGTGTGAAGTGTTATTTTGTGTGGAATGAAAATGTAATTGTACACTATGAAAATTATGATATAGGCCAGCAGTCGCGAGAAAAATCTTTCCAGTTTTCTGGGATCTGATTGTAGCTGTTACGACATTAGTTTAAATAACTTTAAATTCTGTAACAAAAATTATCTTTTAACTTAAAACGTAGGCGTAGATCGGTGAGCGATACCTAAATAATATCAATTTTAAGTCAATATCACAAGTCATATCACAGCACGTAGCTCCTATCTTGCCACAAGACTTGTGGATACGGCAGTGTAATTTGAAGGGTGTGGAGAGTTTGCATACGTTCAGGGTTAATTAAACGAATTATAACATCGCATGTTATACATTATATCACAATTTCAAATTAAATAGCTACAGCAGCATATCTTTAATAATTTGGAAGGGGCTTTTCTAAAACACTCATCTTAGGAAATCTCTGATTTTAAATTATCGGTTGGATTAATTATCCTTATAAACACACAATACAGGTTTTGATGCTGTCATGCCAACCAAATGCAATTACATCTTCTTTGGCAATCAACCTGATTCCCAACTTTTCCCCGATCGCCCGACAAGGATTCACCGCTCATAAATGACTTAAATTATTCACAGACACTGTCTCAACTGCAGAGGTTTAACACTGTCGAATGAGATTGCAAGATAAGCCATGAAGAGTGAACAGGCAAGGATTTGGAACGATAGATACTTTACTCATTTACAGGTACTACTCCGACGCTGACCTGCAATGACACAGCAAATCCTCCGGGACGGCACTCCAACGAGACGTGATTCGATACTGGGACCTCCTAAATACGAAACACGAATCCTACCTACACCATGACATTCGATACCACAACCCTGTAGCTTATCACAACTTCACAACGCGTTACACAGCACAAGTTATAATTAACTACAGCACACCGCACGACGGGAAATACGTGTGGGTAGACCAATGATCTAATCTTCCACCAAATGTCGACAATGAACGGCAAGTAATCGAGAGATGTTTCACTCCCGCAATGGGCAATTCTTTTTTTAACTACATGGAGAAGAACTATTCTATTTAATTCAGACGCTTACGTTCAACCGATCAAGAAATTGTCCGTATTTTATGGAACACGAAGGATCATTCCGTTCTCACAAAGTCCGCCAATTGTCTCTATCCGGAGCTACATGGATCCTGTCCACACCCTATTTCTTTCAGACCCACGACAAAATACAGGCCAAGTAGGCATTCTGCTTCGAATCCGTAAAAGAAATCATAAGCCTGTGGTACTCGGCGGAATATTTTACAGTACTGGCTTCGTTACATATCATGATGAAATGGCTGTGTAAGTGAAGGAAGAGCTAGTTTGTGGCACTAAGTAGTCTGGTAGGAGTTTACCGACGATCCAGAGGTACTTCCTACCGCCATCACCAACCTGATGATGGCGGCAGCAAAAACCTCTAACACGATGGACAACTTCCACCAGTTGTCTACAAGGAACAACCCAGAACCAGAAGACAGGAATCTTCACCCTCGTCTCCGTGAGCACTTAAAATATCAGGAAGATACGCATAATTTGAAGCAAAATAACTGCAATATCAGAACAATTCATCAAGTTAACTTATGCACGTAAGTTCAGTGACTTGATCTGACAACTGCCAATACGCACAATGAAAGACTTAAAGTAGGTAAGAAACACTTCTTGTGCTACCAACACTAAGACAAAACTATTGATGTTTGTGTGAGATGAGGTTTACACGGCGGTAAGGATGATGTTTATCTGTGTT